ACCTTGTTTTTTAAGGTGTTGCCGTAAGTATGGATTGTTGGTTGGGCGCTATAACGAGGCTTGTCGAAGGTTGGGCGCTGTAATACTGGCTTATCGGAGGTTGGGCGCTATAATGCTGGCTTGTGGGAGGTTGGGCGCTATAACGCTGGCTTGACGGAGGTTAGGCGCTATAACGCTGCCTTATCGGAGGTTGGCTACTATAAGGCTGGCTTTCAGGAGGTTGGTTGCTATAAGACTGGTGAGAAGGATGTGGTCACAGTAAAGCTGGCTAGACTAATGTTGGTTGCTACTAGGCTGGATTTAGTAAGTGCTAATTAACAAACAGATAACACTTGGTCTATTTAAAAAGTTAAGGAAAGATCTTGTATTCCTAAACGCAAGTATAAATAGATGGAATGCCCACAAATATATAAAAATATGCGTCCACCATACACCCTTTCATACACATCTACATGTGTTCGTATTGTAAATGTACAAAGGACGATATGCTATTGTACCCAACGCACATCCCTTCTTCAGTGGGTGTTAGGGAGTAACACAATGACTGACAGGGGTGCCACTATCCGGCGACGGGGAGGGGAAAGGAAGGGGGGAGTAGGGCACAAACACTGCGCCCCCTTTTGTGGTGGAGGTGCTGCTGCAGCGCTTCTATCCTTAAGGGAAGTTCTTTGATGCCGGCGAGGGCTCTTGATCCAGGGAATTGGACGTTACCTCCCGCTCTTTGAATCGAACCTGATATGACCCCTATGGATTTAGCGTTCCCTCTGAATCCAATAATGCTTCACTTCTGCTATTGCTGCTGATTTTCCCTTCCTGCTGCTGCTGATAATGCTATTTCTACAGCTGCTGCTGCTCTTTCGACTGCTGTTACATTTCCTCTTGCAGTTGCTGGTGCTACTACTGCTTGTCCTATTATGTTTCCTGACGTTGCTGCGGCTGCTGCTGCTACGCTTCCAGACGACCTAGAATCGATATTTGCCGAAGGGCGTCTGACTCACGATGATACCCCCAAGTTCCCGGTGGAGATGATTGGTTAATACCAGTGATACGAGATGATGAGGCGGTGGTGTTTAAGTGATAACTATGTTGGTGATGGAAGTGAGGTGTGGTTCATGAAGTGATAGCACTGTATTATTATTATTATTAACCACGAAGAAGTACATAATCCTTATGGATTATGCACTTCTTCCTCTGGTGCCGTACATAATCCGTAAGGATTATGTACGGCACCAGAGGAATGAAGAGTTATCAGGCTTGATCTGAGGAACGGAAGGGTGTCACTAGTTTCAAGGCATCTGACTGAAGGGTGGGGCAAAGGGATGACGGTGTGGTAGTGATGCTGGTTGTGTGATGGTTGTGAAGAGTATGCAGAGGCTCGTGATTAAGGATGCTGTTGAAGGGAAACTGTGACGAATGAACTTGAAACTAATGTAATATTTGTATAAGAATGAGAAGTGCAACATTGTCAAAAATTATAGATTAGTATACTGTAGAGTAAGACTAGCATCATTGTTATCATTGTAGCTGTAATCGTCTTTAACTATTATTATCACTCTCATCATGATCAAAACTATCATCCCCATCAGTATAATAATAATTTTAATAATAACAGTTATAAAATAACAGTATTACTATCACGACCTTCACTAGTACCATCATCATCAACTGTCGAAAACTTTTTGTCTACAAGTCAGTGTACCTCTTTGTTTGGTCACTAGATAAGCCTTTCTAAAAAAAAATCACTCTTTAATCATATATGTGTAAGATCTGCTGATAATATTATGAATCATGCAACAAAATATGAGGAAATATGTCATTCTTAATGAAGTTCAATTTGTAATAAATATGACTGTGTTATTTTATTCGTAAGGAAAGAAAATGACCTTGTTCATACAATGAAATATTTACGTTATGGACACATTCATAAAGGACATTAGGTAATGAATGGTGTTCACACCGTTTAGGAGGTAATCAAGCATTATGTAGAAACTGTAATTGTAATATATAAAAATTTACACGTTTGCTTTTACTGTAATTAATAGATTTATATCACAGGAAATGATCAGATATTTAATATTTTAATAAAGGCTATTAATATGCAAAATGTATTCTGGAGGAATGTCAACTCGTCTGGCACTCGTCTGGAGATATATGGTTTAAGCCGACTAGGTTTAATCATAATTAATGTAAATAGGTGCTTTAGTAAATTTACACCCCATTAAGATAACATGAATGACAAGCATATGTACGGAGTAGCTTCCAAAGTTAGCAAAAAAAAAATGTAGAAACTAAACATACTGTTTATATTACAAGTAGTTTCGTGCGTAGAATGACGAATATTGTAGAATCAGATCAAAAAGTACCAGTATTTCACCTTGAAAAATGCACTCATACTGACTACCCTTATCTTCGATACTCACATCTATATTGCAGACTGATTGTTTAACCGATACTGAATTCCACCAACTATGACTTTCTCCTTTCACAGTAGCCGACATCCGTAATTCTACCCACTCCCTAACATAAACACTCCTTTACCACACGGCAGTCAATGAACCAATCGGATTTAGTTTTTTGTGAATATAATAATAGTAATAATAATAAAAATTAATAATAATAATATAGCCAACACAGGCTTGGTTAAACACATTTGGTAGTTTAACATATAGAATGTATAGGTACTGATCAAACTGATCGACACCATACCTAACCCTTCTAGGGTGCCTGAGCCCGAGCTTACAGCTCACAAGACTGTCATTCCCATTAGTCCCTTTGGGGCGGGGATGGCAGACCAGAGAGGCCTAGCATGTGGCTAGGCCTGGGGACTGTTGGTCCCAAAGATGAGGAGGTACTTGTGCCTCCTACCATGGGAGACTTAGGTCTCAGACACTCCCTAAAAGAGGGAGCCAAGGCCGGGTCACCACTTGGAAAAGGCCCGGGCCGGGAGAATACCGGCGAATCTTTAATAATAATAATAAATAATGATCAAACTAAATTAAAATGTACACCCGGTCTTATAGTCAATTTCTTGAACACTGGTCTGGGACCGGGTCGCTGGGGCGGTGACCCCCAGAAACCGATTACAGGTAACTTGCTTACCTGTCTTCTTACCGTGGAATAAATATGAAGACCCAAACCTTTATATGGCAAATTATCATATTTATGAATTAAAAACCTTAAATGTTCTTACCCAATAATTTGATTTTGGTTTGTAGCATATATGTTATATACCTTACCATTTAAAGCGCATCCAAGCGTTGCCTACTCATATTTTTTTTGGGTCAGAGTCAGGGGCGGATCTATTATGAGACTAATGAAGCTTAAAGCTTCAGGGCCCCTATTCCCGGAGGGGCCCCAAAAGCGACTTTAGTCCACATTGCTTAAAATTTTTGGGTCTACTGTATGTTTTTTTTTTAATAATGTTAATAATAGTGTGAATTAAGTACAAAATAAAAGCTAAAGTAAAAATTAAAAGGTTATTAAAGTATCATGTAGGCTAGCCGTTGTTGGTTGCGAAGGGGCTCCCATAACAGTTCAAGCTTCAGGGCCCCAAAAATGTTGGTCCGCCACTGGGCAGAGGCCCTAGGATTTGTGTTTCATCCTCGTTCACAGGATGAATATGCTGTGAGCAGTAAATTTGTTGGTTCGTTGGCAAAATTACATTAAAATTGGTCTTAGGTATGGTCACCACAGCCTAGCTTGCCTCTTCATGTTAAGTCGGAGTTCACGTTTATTGTAAAGAGAGAGAGAGATCTAAAGAGACCTCCATTATTACTATTAATATGTCTATTAAATTCAGCTTATAGAAATATACACGAGATTAAAAAATCTTACACATATTAGTAATTTATTAGTGAATGTCTTATTCAAGTGTTGCAGTTTGACTAGCAAGATTTTTGTGAAGGGTCATGCTGCACTCCACCTGTCTGTCCTAATGACCTTGTCTACATGTCCACGCACGCACTCATGCAGAGGCGTGTGTATGTATGAGGTCAGGGAATTAACGTCTGTGTGCGTGCGTTTTTTAATTTACTTAAATATGCATGAACGTATACTAAGAAACAGGGGTCAAAAGACGTGTCTGGCTAGCCGTTTGGAATGCCACGTGTACATCTGTGTACTAATTGTTCACTCGAGTACTGGCGCAGCAAATACGGTTTTAAGAGGTAACCAGATTATGGTGGATATGTTGGTCTGAAGCTCTAGGGCAGCAGTTGCTATGATTAATTGACGGTTATTAGGACTGAGAGCAGAATTATGCAAAATCGTATTCTAGCTCCTGGACCCCCTTTCTTCTCCAAGGCCTCTACCAGTCCTTGCTCTGAATAACATAAATTAATTTAACGCAAATGCTACGCTCACCAGCACGAGGGCTTGCGCTGACTAGCCACGTGACAGCAAATGATCGAATTTATGTACAAGACTTTCATGTATATCTGGTTTGCACCCCTGTATGTCTATATATGTCCTTCAATCGTTTAACCTAGGCATTCGTGTATATTTGACTTGGGTCAGAATTCTGACTTTATTTTTAGCTTTGTATTTGCGCTGTAACTCCATTTCGACGCTTTCTTAAGTTTTACATATCAAGGAGAAAATCTGTACAGCTATTTGAAATACGTGCCATGTATCTCAGTGGCAGAGCCCTCTTTTCACAACCGAAGGTTCTCGGGTACGATTTTCAAGAGGCAACTTGTATGGGCGACTCTCCATACACCTACCCTGGTTCACCTAGCAGTAAATAAGTATCTGATTATTAGTCTATTGTTGTGAATCGCATCCTATAGGTGTTCTAGCATACTTGAGATTAGGTCTGGGCTTTGAAATAAGCGGAGATAGAATAACTGTTTTTAGTCTGTACAGTAATTTTAACTGTATAAGGATATGTCTGACTTCGCTAGCGCCTTGAAACTAATGTAAGTGTCTGGAGCGAAAGAGAGACGAGGGGGGGGGGGGGAATGGGTCTCGTAATCTGATACTTGTATTATCTATATCTCTGATTGATTTAGTTTTTTCATTGTTCCAGATTATTTAATTCATTGTCTAATTTAGTTTCTTCATCTTTCAGGTTTGTTATGGCTCCTTAACAGCTGATTTGAGTCTGGCTGATATTTGCTTACAGCAAGATTGTGCTTCATCTTTCTTGCTTAAGGTACTTCAACGACGCAAGAATTGGTTTTAAATGGTTCTTCCACCCGTGAGTGTGAGATATTTGTTTACTAACTTACCACCTTTACTCTTTCTCAGCCGTTCCTGGATATTTTTAACACTGCTAGTATTTTTATTCACCTGTATTTTGATGATGTGTAGCTGATCAATGATATATATGTAGCACTGTCAGTAATGTAAGAATACGTAGGGGAAGACACGAACTGCCGACCCACTGGATGTGAGTCGTTCACGCTGGCCTGCGCCACGTCCAGTGGATCAATGAATGGTACTCATCCATCCTTCCTCTTCGTGTGCCACTTGTCTGAAAATGAGAAGTTGAATTCGATGTATCAGTGTGTGATGTCTGGGTATACGAAAAACTAAATGCAGCTAAAAAAAATGTATACTGGAACTAATAAAATTATTGGTTGTTTCTGTTATATTTGTTAAGGCTTCCGAAGATCATCGCCCCCGCGGCTCATTCTCAAACTTGGCTTCGTAAATCGGAAAGGCAACATCACAGAAATAAGAACTATAAAAAAAAAGGCCGAGGAAGTAAAGGGTATAATGAATGCAAGTAGAAGCTTGAAAGATTTACCAGTCTTAATACAAGTACATGAGACAGAAAGAAGACTGGTAATCCTGCCCAAGTGCAGAACACTTAATTAACATTCTTATGCTTCACGCTTGCTTGACAACGACAGTACCTCTTTGATTGCTGTCTACCAACCTACTTGTGTAACTTTTTATAAATAATTTGGCACCACCGAAAAGAAAAATATCTGTACGCAATATGCAACTGCTAAAAAAGGACTTGGAATGAGTTTCATGAAAATTTCAGTATACCCTGCGAGCAATGAGACGTAGTCAGGCAAGCGGTGCTTCGGCTTCCTTCCTTCCTTCCGCCCCGCGCTGCATGGACCACCGCTGCCGCCGCCCCTGCGGGAGGTAATGTTGCGTGTGAGGTAATAATGCTGGCCTCACTGCATAATATTGCGACCCACACACACAACAGGTCCCTTCCCCTCACATAAGCAGGTAAAGCGACGACCAGTTATAGCGCCATGTGTGTGTTTATATCACTGAGCAGGGAGCTTAGTAGCTCCTCAACTTGTCGTTAGTAGTGCGCTGGTCTGTGTCCGCCACTCTCCACCCTTCCACTACTCCCCCCTCTCCCCATTCATCCATCATACACTCCCTCTGCTAGCCACCTCTGTCCTTCGCTCCTTCCCCTTCCACCTATCATATACCTCCTTCACCAAGCACATTTAAAATCCTTCCACTATGTCCATTCACCACTACACCTACTATCCCTCCACCACCACCCCCACTATCCCTCCACCACTACCCCTACCTCTATGATTGCCCCCCATCCACCTACATACCTTCTTGCATTCCAGTATTGATATTTAATATTCTCAGTCTTAACTTCTTGTACTCTTATCTACACTTATTCCTCACACTTTCCCTCCCATTCAAATCTTCCGCTTTCCGTCAATTCTTTCCTTCACTACATATTCCCCCTCTCCCCCTACGTATCTTCTTGCCTATTTGCCATCTCCTAAGCTTCTACCAAAGATTCAAGTGCAACTCCACTTCTTCTCTTAAATACGTCTTCCAATGGTCTCTGCTTCTCTCCGTCTCTTCCCTCTGTCTTGTGTCCTCATGTCTGGTTCCTCTCTTCGTTCCTCCTACTTCCACTCTTTTGACAGGAATCTTCGCTCGGACGACTCTATGTAAGGTGACCTCCTCAAGGGAGGTTCCTTGAAGCCGGTGAGGGCCTTTTAATCCAAGGAATTGGACCTGTGCTTCCCTTCCTTGGATCAAACCTAAATGCCTTCCATTCTCCAGGCGCTGTATGATCAATTCGGGTTTAGCGCTCCCACATGAATGTACTACTACTACTACTACTAATAATAATAATAGTAATAATAATAATAATATGTAAGTTGAGGATTCGCATATTGTGGAATCCTGCCTTATACTACATATAGTGTACCACTGACTTAGTCCATACTACATGTGATGTACCACTAACTGGTTCACACTACATATAGTGTATCACTGACTGGTTTTCACGCTACGTGTACCACTGACTGGTTCACACTACATGTAGTGTACCACTGGTTCACGCTACATGTAGCATACCATTGACTGGCTGTGGTTTAACTGCTTGTCCTCGGCTCCGGAATTTTAGGCTTATGTACGATTTTATAATGACCGGAGTGGCTGCAGAGACCTCGGTGAATTTTCATGGAGAATTAATAGTTAACTTTTTTTTTTTAAAGATGGAGCATTTATTTAATCTTTTGTGAGCGTATATAGAAATAGTGTTATAATATATGAACAGTAGAAACTGCTTTTGTCAGGTCCCACTAACCCCTCTCCTCCACTCCTTTTCTCCTCTCTCTCTCTCTCTCTCTCTCTCTCTCTCTCTCCTGTGTGTGTGTTTGTATGTATATCTACCTATCTGTATCTGTCTATTCATCTCTTCCATCTCTTCTCTCTGAACGTCATCTATTGGATTTAGAGGCATAATGGCGTGTGAGTGGGAAGACACAGTATGTACTGAACAAGCTTGTAACTGTGGCGACGTTTCGCCCAAGTTAGGATTTAATAAAGCTCTTCCCTAAGGGAAATGTTGCTCCAGTTAAAGTTTGTTCTGCATATTGTCTTCATACCTATATTATCTCCATGTCTTCATCTCACCTTCCATCCTCTCCGTCTTTACTCATCTCCATGTCCTGTCTCCCAGCCTCTCATCTCTGCCTGTACTGTACTCTTCTCTGTATCTTCCAGTCTCTCATCCTCTCTGTCTGCACTCTAGTTTTCCCTGTATCTTCCAGCCTCTCATCACCTCTGTCTATCCTCCACTCCGTCTCTGCTCTCTTCTGCTGTAGAGACAGTGACAGTTTTTCTTGCTACAGCTCTGTGGTGATCGTAGGCTGTAGTTCCTCTCACAATGTTTTGGCATCAGCAGCTCGTGGCGCTTGCTCTTAGATTTGCCTTTGCCAGCTACTTAGTTATATGTCTTCATCAAGAGGCAATATACACTTCAACTTCGGCGAGTTATGTGTTATGGGAAAATATGCCAAGTCGTGTGTGTGTGTGTGTGTGTGTGTGTGTGTGTGTGTGTGGTGTGTGTGTGTGTGTCACGCACGCACACACACACACACACACACATACAAATAGGTGAGTACAGGAGCTGTGACTCGATCCCTGCAACCACTTATAGGTGAGTACACACAGGAACTGTAGTGGGGGTTCGTAGGAGATTATGATGATTGGAGTAAAACACACTTGTTGGATGTTATAATATTAACAGAGTATGAAGGGGGAGAGAGCCCAAACTGCCTGTCATGTCGCCTGCTTGGATTATGGGGAACTGAGGCCTATGCAGCGCAGCCCACGCACTCATGCGGGATCACGTGACGTCATACAAACTAGTCACTAGGCCTAGCAAAGGGGGTCGTGTATGTAAAAACCCAATTTTGTAGATGTCACTAGATACTCAGAAAAGCTATACAACACATGTAGGGGATCAGCAACTATGCTGACAGCTCGGTCATGTTACGTATGTCGTCTCGACATATATAGGTGTTTGAGGAGGTAGATCATGGCAATGAATATGATATTGTGTATATGGACTTCAGTAAGGCTTTCGATAGAGTTCCACACCAGAGGCTATTGAGGAAACTTAGGGCACACGGAATAGGAGGAGAATTTTTTTCCTGGGTAGAGGCATGGCTGACAAATAGACAGCAGAGAGTTTGCATAAATGGGGAGAAATCAGAATGGGGGCACGTCACAAGCGGTGTTCCTCGGGGGTCAGTGTTGGGCCCGTTGTTGTTCACAATTTACATAAACGACATAGATGAGGGAATAAATAGCGACATAAGCAAATTTGCTGATGACACCAAAATAGGCAGTCCAATTCATTCTAATGAGGACATTAGGGCACTCCAGGATGATTTGAATAGACTGACGCAATGGTCGGAGAAGTGGCAGATGCAGTTTAATATTGACAAATGCAAAGTTCTAAATGTTGGACAGTTAAATAACCATGCCACATATAAACTAAATAATGTAGATCTTAATAATACCGATTGCGAAAAGGATTTGAGAGTTCTGGTTAGCAGTGACCTGAAACCAAGACAGCAGTGCATTAGTGTTCGCAATAAAGCTAACAGAATTCTTGGCTTCATATCTAGAAGTATAAATAATAGAAGTCCTCAGGTTGTTCTTCAACTCTATATATCCTTGGTTAAGCCTCATTTAGACTATGTTGTTCAGTTCTGGTCACCGTATTACAGAATGGATATAAATGCTCTGGAAAACGTACAAAGGAGGATGAAAAAGATGATCCCATGTATCAGAAATCTTCCCTATGAGGATAGACTGAAGGCCCTGAATCTGCACTCTCTCGAAAGGCATAGAATTAGGGGGGATATGATCGAGGTGTATAAATGGAAAACAGGAATAAATAAAGGGGATGTAAATAGTGTGCTGAAAATTTCCAGCCAAGACAGGACTCGCAGCAATGGTTTCAAGTTGGAAAAATTCAGATTCAGGAAGGATATAGGAAAGTACTGGTTTGGTAATAGAGTTGTGGATGAGTGAAACAAGCTCCCGAGTAAAACGTTGTGTAGTTTTAAAAATAGGTTAGATAAATACATGAGTGGGTGTGGGTGGGTGTGAGTTGGACCTGACTAGCTTGTGCTGCTGGATCTGGTACAGTGCTCTATCCTTGAGTGGGGATGACCAGACTGGGTGGGTCATTGGGATAATCCGGGGGGTGGGTCATTGATCTAATCCGGGGGGAGGGACATGAACCTGCTTCGCATGGGTCAGTAGGCCTGTTGCAGTGTTCCTTCTTTCTTATGTTCTTATGTTCGACATACAATACTACGCTATAGGCTATAGGCTGAACAGGCAGGTAGCTCTGGGCTGATTCTATACAATAGCAAAGACATATGTAACTTAGAACTGATGGATGGTATCGTAATGGATGTTAATGTAATGGGTTTTAACGTAATGAGTGTTAATGTAAGGAGTTTTAACGTAATGAATGCATTACGAATTATAAGAACAAATCATGGTATAATAAAGGATGGAATTGATCGATCGATCTGTATTCATGCACTCTACGGATTCTGAAGAAGGATAAATATATTTACAAAGGTGAAAGTAATTAACAGCAAAGACAGATCTGGCATGCTCAGATCATTACTGCTAGATTCTCAGAATTCGGAGGGAACGTGAACACAAAACAATTTTTGAAAAAAAAAAAAAAAACTGATCAGCTAATAAAAACACAGAGTTGACAACTTCATTCATCTTGAACATCTAATTATACAGACTATGTACATTTAAACCCAACTCAGCGAGGGTAAGATTTACATATGCAGAATTGTTATCATCTTTTGGTGGATCGAATTCTTCTGCAATGGCTAACACATGCCTTGACTGATTAGCAGAGTATGAAGGGGGAGAGAGCCCAAACTGCCTGTCCTGTCGCCTGCTTGGATTACGGGGAACTGAGGCCGATGCAGCGCAGCCCAAGCACTCATGCGGGATCATGTGACGTCATACAAACTAATCACTAGGCCTAGCAAAGGGGGTCGTGTATGTGTCGTATGTGTTGTATAGATAAGCTATACAACACATGTAGGGGATCAGCAACTATGCTGACAGAGCTGTGAATCGATCCCTGCAACCACATATAGGTGAGTACACACACAGACTCACACTCTCTCTGAATTTTTCTCTGGTCCAGGAGCTAGAATCAGGAAATCCATACACGAACACATAAGCAGTTTGGGATGCGAGGAGGAGAAGCAGGAGACGTAAATACAGCTAAAGACGCAGACTAGCCACAGGTTAGTTAGTTAGTTTAATATGTTTATTATGCACCCCATACCCATCCTGTGGGCGGTAGT